GTATTTATTTATTAGTATTAGTAATAAAAATTAAATTATTATTAGTAGGTACCGTACGGTACGTTACTTACTAATAATTAGTAGAATATGTGTGTGTATATATATATATATATATATATATATATATATATATATGACAAAATTAACATACAGTTCCAAGTTTTGTAATATCATCAGTAAATTTCAGTAAAGAATCTATAGATAATGTTTGCTTGTAGGATTATCTATAAAGTAAATACTGTTCGAACCTGAGAAACAGGTTTGAGTCAGAACAATTTGTTCCTCCCTATTGTTTCATATGTTGACTGACAACAATTGGTAAATCTTTCATCACCTTTTTAATTTTTCATGAACCTTCAAATATTTCTTAAAAGTTTTTTAAGTTATCTGCTAATGTGTGTTAAGTATGATAACATTAATGAAAGACAGGAGACAATAACTCCAAATAAATCAATCAAAAAAGTGGCACTTGAATGCTCAGTGGTTGAAAAAATAATTTTTTCTTCATACACAATACTTTTTTTTAACTTGAATACTATTTATTGTAGAAAAATCTATTGTGATATATTTTATGGACAGCTATGCACAGATAGCCCTTATGTTGCTTTTTGCAATATAGAAAAGTTTGAACAACTATTCATATTGTTTTTGAACTTTTAATTATATATTTTTAGGATGGTGAACCTGACAGTGATGATGAAGGTGGGTTTTTTTCCTTTTTTATGTTTAGTATTACTGTATTTGCCAATAGAACATGAACTAAAAAATTTTTTAATACAACGTACTTCACTGCTCGTAGCCAAAGTTTTTAGTGTACAAATATTTTGTAGCTTTATTACTTGTTTTTTTTCATATGTATATATGCTAAATGTACAAAATATTATGCTAAAATTGTTACACCTTTTAAAAATGAGATGTATAAAGAAAAGATCATAAATATATATTTTTTGTTAGAAATCTAACATTTTAGATTAAACATGGTTGAAATTACTTATTATAAAGACCTCTAACCCTTTCCCTGCAGCTGGGAATGGGCTAATATTAGAAAATGCTTCTTAATTGGCTTAACTGTTGTTGTTTCTAGTACAATTATGAATAATGTAAAAATGTAGGTTGTAACCTTTTACTTTGTTATGGTGGCCCGGCATGGCCAGGTGGTTAGGGCGCTCGACTGACAATCAGAGGGTCGCGGGTTCGAATCCCAGCAACACTAAACATGCTCGCCCTTTCAGCCGTGGGGGTGTTATAATGTGACGATCAATCCCACTATTCGTTGGTAAAAGAGTAGCCCAAGAGTTGGCGGTGGGTGGTGATGACTAGCTGCCTTCCCTCTAGTCTTACACTGCTAAATTAGGGACAGCTAGTGCAGATAGCCCTCGTGTAGCTTTGCGCGAAATTCAAAAACAAACAAACTTTGTTATGAAGAAAGAGCTTTTCACTGAAAATGTTAAAGTAAATCATCAATTGTTATTAGTTAAAATATTTAGCTTTGTTAATAGAAGAATAACTAAGGATTTGTATGCATAGCAAGTAATGTTCATGGTAGTTAACAAAATTTAAAGGATAACCTTTCTAATGTTTAGTTTGTAACTTAAAACAGGAATAAAAAAATTGCTATAAATTATTTTGCAGATTTACCAGACCTGGAATGAAAAGGGGGATCATCATCATCATAGAAATACATTTATAATTACCTAGATTCATTGCGGTATGCCATTTTTTTTTGTCATAATTTGTGTGGCTATCAAAAATCCTAAATTTCCACAATTTTCCAGGACTTTAATGTGAACATCGTGATTAGTCTTGTACAGCTCCATGTAATAATGACAATTAAGTCATTTTACACTAAAGACGAAGGTTAATTAAAGAACTTGTATACAGAGTAAATGTAATTAAACAGTTGTCAGGATTTGTAAGTAGATAATTACTTTTTGGAGTTGTTGATAATAATTTAAAATCTGAAACGTGCATTTGTTAAAAGTTAAACATAATTTTATAGACTTGTTTAAAATATGGAAAAAATATTTAGATTTGTGTGAATAATATTTTAGTGTCTACAAAAAAAATTACCCAATTAAAAAAATCTAACTTGACCTTTGTCTTGCTAACATTGCTTTGTTTGATATTGGTGGTTAGTAGTTTAGTCCTGGAACTTTGTGGAATGAGACAAGAAAAAATATTTTGTATTGAACTTACCAGAAAAAAAAAATGTGTAATGTATCATCAGGATTGTATGATAAATCTAAAGAACATATATTTTGTGTGAATGCTACCATCATCTTTCTCTGTAACCTTTAAAATTATTTTATTTAAGTAATCCATTTGCAAACGTAAATTTGAATGTTTTCTTTTATACAAACCCACGCAACTTCTTCAGAAATACTATCACACACATTCCTTGTGTGTGTCAAGTTTTGTATATAATGTTGAATGCTTTATCATTACATAAACAATTTGTAAAGAAATAAATTACTGAAACCATGCTTATTTTGCATGCAATAGTTTTGAGATCAATTTAAATAAGATAGCTAGCACGTAAAATGTTTGCTTAAAATTTGTTAATAAAAGTCCTTAATGAATCTTCTTCAGTGACTGTTGTGAGGTACTAATCATTTTAAAGTATTTTCACAATAAAAGAGAAAAAAAATATTCCAATCTGAGTGACAAAAGTATTTGATGGATTTTGAGTATCATCCAAAGTATTGCTTAATAAAAGCCAAAACAGGAGCACTTTACACACAGCCCAAAGTACAAAGGGAAAATTTTGTGATTACGAGAGAATGTATTGGTACAATAAATTGATGCAGATGCTAAAATACTGTGAAGTTTTTGTTACAAAGTTCCAACTCGTAAATACCATGTATTTTGAATAATTGGTCAACAGTGAAGAGGAAAATCTTGGTTAACTACAGTTTCTTACAAAGGAAAAATATAACTTCTATCCAAGTATTCTTAATTAAATATATTATTTAAACACTTTTGTTTCTAGTAGATGTTGAAAGGAAGAACTTTAAAATTTTTCATTACATTTTACTTTAAGGTATGAAATGGATAACAGACTTTAAATTCATTGATTATTTTTCGTGTTTGTTGAATATGTTTTTATATTGTTAATAAACTGTGTATCCACAAGCTTCTAAACTAATAGTAAATTCATAAGCTTGTATAATTAATGTCCTTCAAATACTCTTAATACTGGAATGCTGATTTTGATGATGAGACCTAATTTGTAACTTTTAAGTTAAAAATAGCTACAATTCAGGTTATGTATGAAATCCAAGCCAGTGCTCCACAGATTATTATAAGTCATGACAAATTTGCTAGAACTGTATGAATTTTATATGTAGTTTCTCTACATCTTTTGGTATGATACATAATAAAATTTGTTGAAACAACTAAATTTGAACAGTATTACATTAACTTTTTTTTGTAGTAGTAGTAAAGATCATCTGGATTGAAATAAAGCTCCAATTCATTAAAACTCTTTGCAAAGTTTTTCTTATTTAATAATTCTGACATTTGTTCAACATAAAAAAAAAACTAAATATCACCAATTTCACTGTAAATCAACCAAGTATTTCTCATTCCCAGTTATTTGCTGTTCCATTTATTACCCCAGCAGCAGTTACATTTTGCTAATACTTTGAAACTGTTTCTGAAATATCAGTTCAAACAATTATTTGTCTCAAAGTAAAATGAGCATTACTGAGGTTGTTTTGTCCCTAAAATACTCGTATTATTACAGATTAAGTTCACATTATACTTCATAATTATGCTGAAAGAAATATAATTTAGAAAAGTACATTTCAGTTCATACTGTTTTTGACCATCCAATAATTTCTCTATTATTGTAACATTCAAATATTACATAACTCAATCTATCAAACTGTATACTTCAAAGCTGTAAAATATTTTACTTTTTCAAAGTTCTGGTATGGAAAACCTCAAATTCAATTGAGGTATAAGTGAAATTCAACCACAGGTGTTACTTCTGTAATATCTATAGTCAAAGCACTTATTTACTGTTTCATGGGATAGTTGCATTATGTGTGGAGAACTACCTTGCAACTTTCTCATGGGGCTGCAATATTTCTCCTTTCTGGTACCCATTTTCTAATTGGTTGGCTAAAGAGTAAAGTTCTTTGGATTACAATTTTGGTGTTTTCATGATTTATTTCTGACCTCCTGCAAGAGAAGTTTTTGTGTCAAAGGAACAGAAGTGTGTTGTAAAAGTCTCATACATGTCTTTAATGTTCTCCTGATCATATAAGATTTAATTACTGGGTTTATTCAAATACTTTTTATAACTTGCAGTTGAATAGTTATACGCGTATTTTATTCAGTTTTACATTATAAAGCAATAGTTGTATCACTAAAGATAATAATCCATTCATCATCAGTTCTCCTCTAAATAAAGTATTTTATTTTACTTAGATGTAAAGACTAATATTTTTCAATCCACCTGTTACAAATTGCTATATTAGATTGGTCCTTCCACATATTACACCTTTGAACTTCCAGTTTTTGTGGAGATCAAACATCTATGTACTACGTTTAACCCTGAGATTACCACATTATTTTCCAAAAATAGTCACATCTATTAGGAAGTTTAGTTTGTGCTGAACATCTTGTCATCCTTATGAATGTTTACAAAAATCTTTTCACACCTTTTATTTATTCTTTCATCCCCAGTTATACCTTGCATTATTTTTTTGATGATTCATTCAGTCTGAAATAAAGTGGCAATGTAAAAATATATGTTCCTTTGCTAGTCTGCTTTTCAAAATGGCTGCAGTTCTAATCCTGGACTAGTTTCTTGGAAACTGGTGAGACAGTGATATTTTAACTATTCCCTAGTTTCTTAAGGTTTACCCAGGCAAAAGAATTTTCTCTCAAAGATTAAGTATTGAAAGTTAAATTCAAGAAAAGTTTGACCTGCTTCCATTTATCTACCACTGGTATTTTTTCTATTGTTCTTCTTATTATTATTTACAGCCATGTTGATCTTCTTAGAATTCATGGTAACTTTGTTGAGCTGTAATGTTTGATCTAGAGAAATATGTTAAATTTGAATGGAAAAATTGGTATAACCAAGTAAGATGTTGGAAACAAAGATGTAAAGATTTAACATTTTTTTCCAGTGGCATCATCAAGTGATAAAAGTACAAACACTAAAACTAAAAAACATGTCAAACTACAAATGTATACTGATATTTCAGTTTGTTTATTTAGGAATGATATCTGTGCATAGATTGAAAAAAGTGATTTTAGATTTGTTCCTCTTTTCTATAGAATTTCTTAATGACTGTGTGCTATAAATGTATATGGTTGTCTTTTTGTGAGACCTTCTCTAAAACTTCAGATATCATTGGTACTGTTACCTGCTCAACTATAATTCTGAATTTTTCCCTATCTTATGTTACTAAAAGCTTATTTTTTTGGTATGTAATACCATACATTTACTTTGTGTTCATTTATCATCATCTCTAGACTTCGTAACATTCACACAGATTTCTCTCAGTGGATCAGCCAAACTGCATACAGCAGTCTTGAAATAGTCAAATGGTACACATTATTTTCTGTTTGGTATTTCATATAGATGAACATTTATTCCACATTTTGTGAAACTTACATTGTAATAAAAACTGGTACCAGTGTGTGTATAAAAGCATTCCAAATTCGACTTGTCATTTGCAAGTTATGTGAATTCTTTTGTTTGTTTTTTTTAAGAGGTTAGAAAGTACAGATTGTGAACATTAAAGATGGTAATACTTGTAATAAAAATCCAGTGTAGTGAAAATGGACAATTTTGTTTGTACCTGCAGTTATCTTACTTACTGGAAATTACATTAAAAAAAAGATTGAGCACATGTATATAATATCTAACCCAAAAATTATCTATTCATTTAGCATAGTTTCTATTACTGTAATAATACTTCAGTATTCATAGACTGAAGTATTTTTCCCAAACCTCTGGCTGGCCGATGTAGTTATACATTTCACCCTTCCATAAGTACTTTAAAATATATCCAAACAAGTTTTTTCTAAATTTATACAGGTAGTAAGGTCAAAAGGTGGTAAACATTTTACTTGGGTTAATGTTTCATATGACAGTATCTGGAAACTGTCACTTTGACCCCGAATCCGACCCCCCCCCCCCTGCACTTTCATACAAATTTATGAATTAAAGTTTTTCTACCCTGTAAATATTACTCGGAATAATCGGTGACACGTAGAGCATTGAATTCTGGTATACAACAAGATGATTTATTAAGATCTAGTATACACATATAAGTCTTGTTAATATTTTAACTACACGGGGAGTTAATTTTAAATTCTTTAACTTAAGACTTCAGATAAGTAATGACATTCAAATTAAGTTATTGCATAAAACAGATCTGGAAAGCAGTGCGTTATCATCATCACACAAGTTAATGCAAAATGCTTCTCTAAATAATATTTTCTGATAACTTTAACTACAGTTAGTCTTCATTCAAGCATCTTGCTTTGGTCCATTCAACACTGTTCAAGACATTATATATAAATACCAAAATATAAAAGTCTTAGAAACACTTGCGGTGAACAATACTTGGTCCAGATTCATCATACTCCTGTTTGGAAATCCACATTTGCTGGAAAGTGGATAAAGAAGCTAGGATGGAACCTCCAATCCAAACAGAGTACTTCCTTTCTGGGGGAGCAATGATCTTAATTTTCATTGTACTAGGTGCTAAAGCAGTAATTTCTTTCTGCATCCTATCTGCAATCCCAGGAAACATAGTACTACCTCCTGAAAGAACAGTATTTGCATACAAGTCCTTACGGATATCAACATCACACTTCATGATCGAATTGAAAGTAGTTTCATGAATACCACAAGACTCCATGCCAAGGAAAGAAGGCTGGAATGTTGCTTCTGGACAACGGAATCTTTCATTCCCAATGGTGATTACCTGACCATCAGGAAGTTCATAAGACTTTTCCAGAGATGATGAATTAGCAGCAGTGCCCATTTCCTGTTCGAAATCTAGAGCTACATAACACAATTTTTCCTTGATATCACGCACAATTTCACGCTCAGCTGTCAAGAAACAAAAAACAGATATAAAATAAGTAAAAAACAAATCTAGTATTTAATTTTAAAGTTTAAGTCTCATGTGTTATTGTAAACATTTAACCATAAATTCAAAATAATTAATACCTGTAGTTGTGAAACTGTAGCCACGTTCTGTTAAGATTTTCATGAGATAGTCAGTCAGGTCACGTCCAGCCAAATCCAACCTCAGTATAGCATGTGGCAAAGCATAACCCTCATAGATTGGTACAGTGTGAGAAACACCATCACCACTGTCCATCACAATACCTGTAGTACGACCAGAAGCATAAAGTGACAGAACAGCCTGGATTGCTACATACATGGCTGGGGTGTTGAAGGTCTCAAACATAATCTGTGAAAAAAATAGAGTTGAATGATCTATGTACAGGAAAGCTAAGTTTAGTATATCAATTATCCTTCACTTAGCAGTTATCTTTTCACCACTATTGTCTTATTATGCACAATATAAAGTTACCAAATTGTAAAAACAGTTTCAATATATCTAACAGCTTTAGGTTTTTCAAGAATTGTTAGAAAGTGAAACTAAACTTTTAAGAGTGCTACCCGAAAAGGTTTAATAAAATCAATGTTGCACAACAGTTTAGAAAGTTATGCAAATTCAAAACCCACACAGGCCATTGTTAACACACCACATTTATGTGCATTTTCAATAACTTATCCAAAATAAATACCTGTGTCATTTTTTCCCTGTTCGCCTTAGGGTTAAGAGGAGCCTCAGTCAACAGCACAGGGTGTTCTTCTGGAGCAACACGCAGCTCATTGTAGAAGGTATGATGCCAAATCTTTTCCATGTCATCCCAGTTGGTTACAATACCATGTTCTATTGGGTACTTCAATGTAAGGATGCCACGTTTACTCTGGGCTTCATCACCTACATAACTATCTTTCTGGCCCATGCCAACCATCACACCCTAAATAAAAATGAAACTTTAATTGTACAAATAAATTCATTTCCTTCAAATGTCTTCACATCTGGAATACCACCTGCACTTAGAATAACAAACAATTAAATCACTAAAAACTACAAGAAAATGTAACATTGTGTCACCTTTACCATAATTTATTCAGAATGATTTGTTATAATCAAATAGTCTATTACATGTACATTAAACACTGAGCTATGAAAAACTCCAATGGAACTAAAACAATTAATCCTTCCAATACTGTGGAATTCAGCTTAATAGACTTGTCTAGATTGAAGCCAGCTAAACTAGATAAATATGAAATCTGAGTAAATAAGAATTTAAAAGGTCTTTTTCGATGACTAGGAACCAACTTTGAGACTAATAATGGTTGGTGACGGATTGAATGGGTAATGAAGAAAAACTTTAATACAAGTTTAACATAACAGCAAATGTACAACGTTTTGTCATCATCAAGCCGTCTCCAACCATTATTTAAAGGTCTTTTGTTGTCATTAGAAAATATTTAGGACTAATCATAATTTTACATGCAACTTCCACAAACATTACTAAGTTACTTATGATAAATTTCAAAGCAATGGAAAATTAAGAGATATGAAATAAATGACTAACTTACTGTTAACGTGTAATGAATAGAATGTTTAAAATACAGCTAAATATTAAAATGTTTAACCCAACAGTCATGCACTTAACCCTTCTAATATGGGTAGGTAGATTCTGCCCAGCCATATTCCCAAAAGCAACCATAATACAGTTATACTATAACTTGTTAAAATGTATACACATCTTCATGAAATTTTCCAAATTATCAGTAAACATTACAAGGCATTTGTACACGGAGCATCAGATTTTATTAAGCTTTCAAATGGTTATTCACATATCATAGACAGAAGTAGGTGTATATAAGCATTTCCCAAAATGGAAAGAGGTGGGCGGGTCCACTGTGATTCCCTAAATGTAGCGATATCTCAGCAAATAGAAAAGATAGAAAGTTCTTATTTTATATTCTAACTTGTCAACATAGTAATTTGAGTTTCTAATTGGTAAGAAACTACAGACTTTGTATTTGGATATTACAAATATTCTGAACCAATGCTGCATTCAACATACCATGTAACATACAGAAATCGATATTTAGGAGTTTTTTTTTTAATATTTACTTTTAAATTAAAAAAATTGACTAATGTATAATACTAAAATTTGAATTATAATCTACAGTTCGATACCAAACTTAGACCTAAATTCATGAAATAGTTCAATAAAATTTTTAATGCGAGTCAACAAACATGATGACCTAGCCTTTGACCCATCTCAGGGTTAACAGTTGGAGCTCAAACATGAGCAACAATAAGCTACTTTTTATTTAGCCCCAGAAAAGAAAACTAATCAATACTATTACAAGTAAACCTCCTGCAAGGAAAGAATTATAATATAGCTTTGTGCCTTGTCACTAAACAATATACCATTTAAGCATTATCTAACAATGTTTAGGGAGGAGCCTACTGAACTGAATAAATAATTAAAAATACAATAAACAGCTTCTTTTAGAGTATGCAAGTTGATATTTTAATAATTACAACATTTTTATCCATAGTATTGAATCAATGTAACACTTACCTGATGATGATAATACTATGGGTCAAAACATTGTAATTAATAAGATAAGAATCTGACTACTGTGAAAGTTACTATTGTTTTATTTCAAATCATTTTACTTTTTTAACTCCTATTTAATTGCAATATTTGAGATCTAATGAAAAAAAAAAAAGGAGGAGAAACTGAAGTTAAGAATTCAAATTCTTGAACAAGTTCAAAGATCACATAAAATGCTGAATTAAAAAGGTCATTTAGTTTTTACTAGTATCTTTTCATATGCAATTATGGACAAGGAATACAAAACCTTTCCCTTCAATTTATGAATTGAAACATGAACTGCTTTAAAAATAACATGCAAATGTGTAATCCTTGAAAGTAACTGAAATTAATATTTCATAATGAATCAGGCTAAAGCATAGTAATGGTGAAGTCTCAAGTCAAGCTTTTATTCTCTAGCTTGAAAAGTGTACACAATACAAGTAAAATTACAAGGATGAATATGTGCTAACAGCAAGCCCTAAGTGTATTTTAAAATGTCAATCTTTATATTTAGCAAAACAAAAACCTATCGAGTTTAACTCAATGGGCTCAGTTTACTAAACATTTAAAAGAATTTTCCATGCTAAATGTTTGTTTTACTGAAATATACTTAGTTACAAACTGTTTCTTCAATAAACATTTCACACTATTCAAAGATATGAACTGTAATTATTATATACATTTCTTGTAAATGTGAGATTGTATTTCTTCTAAAGATTTGTTCAAATATGAGATGCCTTTACTGAATCAGTCCGAGTGAAAGGCAATTTTCATGCTAAGGATAAAAATACTTTATGGTTTTCGTATTTCATTTGCATAACCTATAGAAATTCCTAAAATGAATACAAAAGTTTTTTCTGAAAAAGTTTTTATTTGCTATTCTAACACTAATTGTAGTGAAATTAGTTTCCAATAAAAGTTGAAGAATAAAATAAAATGAACAATACCTTTTTCTTCTTCAAATGCAACATTGAGAGATTTCCAATTTTCTTATGTTCACAATTAAACTGTTAACCTTTTAAAGCAATAAATCACAGTAAGAGTCCATTACAGCTCTCAAGCATCTGTCAAATGACCCTCACCACATCTTTGAGAGTGCAAATCATAATTGTGCCGAGTCTCACTTTTTCCACCAAGTGTGTTGATCAAATAAAAATTCATGTAGCTTTAAAATATGCATTTTATAACATAAGCAATAATCAGGCACTGGAATACAATGATATAATTTATCTAATTATCCTTACACTATTGGAGCAAAGAACTACAATCACCAAAACCAAATACTTCCACTAACTATTTATTGGGAAATCTAATCAACTACTCTAAGATTTCTATAGAAAAGTAAATGGTCTTTCTATTAGTTATAAACATGTCCAGCTTTATATGGATTATTAACAAGTATAAAAAGACAAAGAGAGGGGGGGGGGCTCTGGTGGTTTTGACAAATATACTGATATCTCAGCAAATTAAGAAGGAAGTTCAAGTTTTTGCTTGTAATTATGTACAGTTTGTTTCTATTTAGTTATAGTAATTCAAATCTGTATCAGGGAAGATATAACATCTATAAGGGAGAATTCAGAGTAGACAAGTCACGTGACACCAAGAAGTGAAAACTGAATTTTTCTTTTAACATTTCCTTTTAAAATTAAGAAAAAGTTATATAATGCAAAAATTAGAAATAAAGTAGGAGCTTAGTACTATTTTTTTAAACTAAAATGTTCAAGCTGTGGGATACAATAAACTAATTGTAATCACTACTGAAAAGATATAATACTCCATTAGTGGTATACCAAAGGTATAAATAATCAATGTAACATGGTTCAGTGTTATTTGTTCATTCAAAACAAAACAATTTACTTACTTTCTGAGAAGTCACAAATAAATGCAAGTTATACATTCAAAAATATAATAAGTCACCCACAAATAACAGACAATAATACTGATCTTTAGAAAACCAGTGAAATTCTAATGTTTATGCATTTTGTTACAGTCAGGCAATTTATTTACTGCTCTTACTAATGAAGAAACTCCAATAAAAGTTTAAATTATCACTGAAGAAAATAAGACATGAAATTGTTAAACTAAAATTACTTTTTTCTTACAGTTATTGTAAATTCTAAGTATTATTATTATTATTATTATTATTATGTGACTTAAGCAAGACTGAACAAGAACTTCAAGTTGTAAAATCTCTTATGTGTTAAAATACACTGGCAAGTTACTCCTAGCTGAATATTGGTTTTTATGACTTTGCATGCTCCATATACAAACAATAAATTAGTTATATTCATATAGACTTATTTTTAGTTGTGATCTATGTCGATATCTTGTTCTGATCGAAAGTTTATGATAATTACAGAAACATCTTTTTCATGTTCAAACTTACCTGATGTCTTGGGCGACCAACAATAGATGGGAAAACAGCACGAGGGGCATCATCTCCTGCAAAACCCGCTTTACACATTCCAGATCCATTATCTACTACAAGGGCTGCAATATCGTCGTCACACATGTTTCTTTTGAAAAAAATTTTTTTTATTTTTCATTTGAACACATTCAAAACTATTATAATAGCTTTGTCCTCAAAACAATAACTGATAGAACTTTATTTCTAAGTTACAAATAAAACTGAGCTGTGAATCAAGGAATTAAAAAACACTGGGTTAGAAAGTAAAAGCAAAGCTATCAAGGTTACATTTGAACCTAATTCTTTGATCCAATATATATCATAACTATGTTGTACTAAGAAACTTCTGCAGGAATAATATTCTCCAAAACTAGTCATCCCAACCATAGTTTCTTTTAAATTACTTTCCTTCTTATTTGCAACAGAGATTTTTGATTCATAAAAACAGTTCCATAAAAAAAAAAAAAGCTTTCTCAATACATTTCAAAACCAGTTTTCTTTATAGAGAAGACATTTTACACACCAATGTACTCAAAATCCTGTGTAGGAATAAGTACAGATAAACTTATACATGCATATTAAAGGGTATTAAATCAAAATGTTTACATCTACATTATCTCAATAAATTAATCTGTCCAAAACAAAAAACATTATATTTGAAATTCATACAGTAAATATAACATCCTAATTGAAACAAATTCAATCAATATCTGCCATTTTAGAATTTCATTTATTTACCAACAAACTAAGTTTTAATACTATTTTAAAATGTTACAAAAATGAGTAAAATTCAAAACGTGAATAGTAGCAAAATAAATACAAACATTAATTCATAAAAAGACATTTATTAGTTTCAGCTATTTAACAAAACATGTCAGGTTTTATTTTCCCCCAAAATGGGTCAACTTCAAAGCTCATCTAGGTTAGTCTTACTACACCCCCCCACCCCACACACACACACATCCATTATTAAACTACTGTTAAAACCCTGATTACAACATTAAAATTGAGGCCACAAACTAATTACCTACATCATACCACCACTACCACAATTATATAAAATAACCTACATCTAATGAGTATAAAAATTAGGGGGCAGTGTGCGTGTGTGTTATGGGGAAGGGGGGTTGCTGGGGCTAAAGGTACTAAAATGTGCCTCAACCTCTCCTACACTCAACAATAAGTGCTTACTGTTAAAGTTGCTTCACTTCCTAAATACTACAGTACTGTGTGCCCACAAGAATTAGGTTGCAGTCTCCTCAATTATTTGTCTAAACTACCTCAGTCCCCTAACCAAGAAGAGGCTAGCACTGCTTCTATACTATAATACTAATAGTGTAAGGATTCAATAATTATACACTACAAATAACTATCAAAATACACAATGGTAGGTATGATGAAAGCTTCTCCCATTTTATATTGTTCATTAAGTTAGGTTTAGCTTAGGTTTGAAAAAATTGTACAAATGCAGTTTGTTAAACTTAATTAACTATACAAATTATTTACAGTAATTTAACATTTGATAATTAGTCTGCTTTATCCTTAAACTGTATTATCCTACAAACATGTTAAACTTACTAGCCCTAACACTGACACTGAAAATTACTTGAGGAATAGGCCTAACATTATGCCTTCTTAATTAATCAATGTATTATGAAGCACTACTTTGATAATAAGCCTGTAAATTATAAATTTATTGTCATTAACACAGTAGTTATTTTATAACTGATATTCATAAACCCAATGATTTTACAGTTAAACCTTTCAGTTTCAGGTTACATCAGCATGTAAAAACTTACAAATCAAGGAACAATTGTTTTACATCAAATTAGCATATATTAAACTTAGATGTATTTATTTAAGCAGAAAATCAATATCAAAAACTATAATACTGATATTATGTTACACATTTATAGGAGAATTTATTATATTTTAATTTCCATACTGAAAAAGTTCTCTGCAATGTTTATTTCAGCCTAAAAACTTTTAATCATTCAATGGATAGAACCTCCAATTCTAAATGTTCCCTTAATCATTTAATGTTTATTTTCCTATTACTTTCTTCTTTTTTTCATGGTTGTTTTCAATAATTAATACGAGTTTAGTATCTCATGGGTTTGTGTTTTACTTTTAGTGGAACGCTCCTGAAGAAGCTGTAAACTTTAATAAAGCGAAACGTAGTGTCTAATTAAATAAAATTAAAATCAACAATTTGGTGTTATAACTTACATAAGGTCGTTTATTTCTAGTATTAAATGAAGTTAAGACTCTGCAGTCTGAAATAAATATTAATTGGCCTAACTACTGGTTGTGGGCGGTAGCAACACTAAGTAACATTAACACTAACAATATGACATAATAACACTACTAACAATACAATTACAGTTTCTAGTTAGTATTATCAACTTAACTCTTAAGACAACCTATATTGAAGTTAACACCTTCGAATATTAATAATGACACTAGTAAAAGCATTATTACTTAGTAAAAACTACAGTACAAATTCCACAAGTCTAGGCTACAATATTATTTCTAAATTCCAAACTCCAATTTGTTATTTTGGATTAAAAAAAACTTACGAGAATTCCGTCCAATCTTAGCAGTGTAAACGAATATTTACTGATTAACTAAACTCAAACCACCTACAATTAAAGCTAATATTATTTTATAATATCGTACCGGAAAGGCGTCAAGTCAGAGAAGTTTTACCTTTTATGGTATAGTAGTACAAACTATCGAATTGCTTTCTGATTGGCCAAACTTAGAAAATTCCCCTAGTTGCGTCGGTAAAAACTAGTTAACCAGTTATCAATAACCAATCAGAAAATGTTGAGCAGTGGATATCCATATATGGAACAAATTAAGTCAGCTGACTCTTAACCCGAGAATCTATCCAATAGAAATGCCCGTATTTAAAATACGAGTGACTCACTTTAAATTATCATAATACATAGTGTGAAATTAAATTTTGAATGTAAGAAATACAAACTAAGAAAAAACGTTTAATGTTATTGTGCGAAAGTTTTAAATATTTTAAATATTGGTTATGAAACTTTCAAAACATTTGTTTTTATCTTCTATACACTACTTCCTGTGTATTGCTACCATTACCTTGTAATATCCTAGGGTTTACCGGATGTTTGCCGGTTCTACTTTGATATTGAAAACAGAGCAGTTTTCTTTCTTTTATATGATTGAGGGGTGGCAGACATTAATACTTCACTAAAATAGTTTATGAGTAAAAATACTGTGAACTTGTGAAGTAGCGATTTCTATTTTTGTTTTCATTTTTTATGTATTTTTACTTGTATCCTTTATATCAGCTATTTTTTTTATTTGCCTAAAACGCTAGCTCACTTATCTCTTACTAAATACTATATATTAACAGCCATATTTACATATTAATTTTAAAACACTATCAGAGGTTCCCCTAGCGATGATGTACAATATTAAGTAAATATATATAATTATATAAAAGAAATGCTAAATTCTTAGTAACATAATATGTAATTTTATGGTCTAGTTTGTTTGTTTTAGAGCAAAGTCGCATTGAGTTATTTGCTGTCCACCGTGGAAAAAAGAGTCACGGATTTTAGCGTTGTAAGTCTCTAAACTTACCGCTGTCCCACCGAGGGCATTGTGGTCTAGTAAGGAAATACAATGTTTGTGATCTAAGGTTAGTCACTGTTGTGGATAAGATTTGGATTGAAAATTCGGGATCCATAATCAATTGTTGTTCAAACTCACCTAAACTCCTTCCGTAATCAGTTGGTACTATAACTCACTTGAACTTCTATCGTGATTTTTAGATGTGTCTTACATTGTTATTTAGTGTAATATAACGAATTGTTTTTTTTCTTGTTGTTGTTGTTATTGTTTTCTATTTCTTCTGGTTCATTTGTGATAATTCATTATTACTGCCATTTGATGTTAGTTATTTAAAATGTAACTTTTATGAATGTTTATGGTTGTGTTGGAGATTGAGATATTTAATTACGAAATACTGATCAGATCCTAATGATCAATCATTGATTGCTAATATTTTGCAAAACTTGGATTTTAAAATATTTTGTAATTGGTTATACTGTTACGACAGCGGAAGTCACGTGACGCTAGTAACACGTCATGAAATTCTAGAAAGATCTTGTCCGTTCGTGAAGCCTCGAGTGTTCTCCAGACGCCCTCTATTTCATATATATCAGGTCATCCCATAAGTTCTGTCCGGATTTTAAATAAAGAAAACGAGTGATCAAATCTTACATTTTATTGAAATTTAATCATCATTGTAGTTTCCATGATTATCTATGGCTTCTTTCCATCTACTTACAAGCTTTTTAATCCCACTACTAAAAAAACTCTTTCGGTTTCGAAGAGAAGAACTCTGAAATGTCAGTTTCGACCTCCTCATGGCTTGTGTGAATTAATCCATCCAAATGATTCTGTAAACTACGGAACAAATGGTAGTCTGAAGGAGCAAAGTCGGGGGAATAAGGCGGATGAGGAATTTTCTCCCAACCAAGTTCTTCAATCTTCTGGGACGTGATTTTTGCAGTGTGGGGTCGTGCATTGTCCTGATGAAACACCACTCCTCTTCGATTCACTAAAACAGGTCTTTTTTCTTTAAAGCCGCGTTCAAACGCTCTAATTGCTGACAATAGACTCAAAGTGAATAATTTCTTTGCAATCCCACCAGATAGAGAGAGAAGAACCTTCTTCGCACGAAGTTCCATTTTCGGTTGTGGTTGGGCCTTTTCCCCATTACTAAGCCACTGCCTACGACGTTTAACATTTTTATAAAAAACCCATTTTTCATGACCAGTCACAAATCTATCCAAAAAGGGCGAGATAAGGTCACGAGAATGAAGAGTTTAAAAAACCTGACAGTGATGTAAGATTTAAATTTTACAGCTTTTATATTAGAAATCAAGAATAACCTTGAATGCTACCTACTTAATTATGAAGTGTTAACATACATACAAAGCAGCTTCAGTGCAACAGGATAAACTGAATTATATTACACTTCAAAAAGAAAGGTAACTTGAATTATGGTCCCAGTTCAAAGTATTACTGTTATTTGTGTTGTTACAATTATATATGAAGTCAGTTATTATTATTATAATTAGTATACATAAACAGGTACTCCTGTTTTTATATAATAACTTTTACATTGTTTCCTTGTTCTTTCGCCCTCCGTATGGCCTGAAAGGTAACGAGCCAGTAGCTACGTGGTAGAGAGTAACTCCTATACTCCATAGGTCAACAGTAGCTCTGAATGACTTACCAGCTGGTTTTCTTAATACAGCTCTTTCATACATGTCTGGATGCTGTAAAACAAAAGATGTTGATTTGTCTCCTCAACTTAATAAATATAATTTACTAAGTTTATACAAAAATGAGCCCCATAGCAAAGTGAAAAAAAAATACATATAACCTAGCTATACAGGAAGATTAAATATAAGAAAAAGAATTATTACAGAGGTACAATATAGTTGTAATGTCAACATTCTCTTCACATGAAAATGTATTTCATAAAGGTACTTACCCCTCCATAGAACAGATAGGTAATTTAATGTGCCACTGCCAAAAATGGTTTTTTTGCAAGCACCAAGTCTTTGAACGAAACTCCCACCCCTACCTACATATATAACAAAGGGTACTGTGCCAATCTATGATGCAATCAGCATTAGACTCTAGCCCTCCACCAATAGGAAGGCAACACATCTTTCATGCACATTACTAACCTTGAGCAGTTTGTGTAGAGCACAAGCTCATTCTAGATGAGCCAAACAAGACATAAGGGAGGGAGGAATTTGTGTAGGGGAGAACACTGGAGAGGTTCATGGACGAAACATGAATTGTCTATCATCTACATAATTCCCAAACTGAGAAACTGAAATTAATGTCAAAATCTACATCTTTCTTTACCAAAATCAAAATCAAAAGGCAAGAAATAAAACACTTCTAGTGTTAACAAAAAGCAGAAAATAAGAGCACAAAAATTCTTAACAAAAAATACACCGAAGAATGTAGTGCTGAGGAAAAGAATGAGCTCAAAGAAAGAACTGCATATGTGTCACCCTCTTATTTGTGGAGGGCTATAATCTAATGTTGGCTGCATCATAGACTCATGCAGTACATCTTATTAAATGTAGGGGTGGGAATATTGTTTAAATGCATGGTACATGGAGAAAAACTTGGACAGTGACACAAGATATTAGCTACTTGTTCTGTGGAGAGGTCAGTAGCATTTCTGAATTGTCTTTTCTTATTTTTCTTCTTGTATAGTTGTTTTATAAAATTTATTTATACTAAGTATTTAATTTATGCCACTATTTTACCTCAAGCAAATATACAGTGCATTTTTTACAATAAAATATTGATATCAACAAGAGGAAATCCTCAATAGCCAAGGCACTTGAAAGTCTTTTAGGCAGGATTAGAGTTAATTACTCTATAAAATCTGTTTTCCTTTTTATTAGCTATATTTTTGTGCACCAGCAATACCAAGCATGGGGCGTGTGTATACCAGATTAAATTGTATTACTCATAGGGCAGGATTAGAGTAAATTAATCTATGAGACCTTGGGTGTGGTCAAATACATCAATCTAAAGGGTTTGACCTCCTGAGTCCAAAACTTAAATTATATTGGTCAAAAGATGACAGAGCTATGAGTTAAGAGTTTGTACTTGAAAAAAAACTCGGTGTCGTTCTATGAGCTGCTATACCATGGCTAAAAATAAGTCTAATTAAACTTTCCATTGCATGTACTGGACTAGATATTCAGATGAAACACTAAATATATTTATGTCTTCTGGTACATGTACTGAACTAGATATTCATACAAAACACTAATTATATCCATGTCCTCTACTATTTATGCAGTAACATTTAACATTAAGGTTTTAAATGCCAAAAGCCAGGGAAGAAAAAAAATCCATAGTCCTAATAATAGCTTAAAAGTCACATTAGCCTGTGCATAAACTGATTAAGACATTTAGCATGAACCACTAAGCCTAAGAAAACACCCTGCTACAAGTATTGAGCTAGGTATTAGATTTGCAACACTAATCTTATCTATACTCCCTAGTGTAAATACTTAACAGGACATTCAGTTTCAAAGGCTACACCTAATCAGTCTTTTATGCATATGCTGAGCTAGGTGTCTATTTAAAATATTAATTCTAATCTGACCTCTGGGTGCATTTACTAAGTTTGTTATTCAGTTTGAAACACTAAGCCTAACCATACCTCCTGGTTCATATATAGAGTTACAAGATTTCCAGTGCAAAAAACTGACACTTTTTTTTCAGTATGGAGTGATATTGTAACAGCTTTTAAACAGTTTAAATTACAATAACACAATTTATATCTTTTGATAAATGATCTGGCATTGATTGCATTATGTTTTAAAATCACAGACAAACAAAATTTGTTAACAGCTTATCTAGTTAAAAGAATTAATAAATGAAATAAAAATCCTGAACAAAGATATCTTGAACCTACTTAAAAGAAAAATGTTGCTACTTCAGCACAGAGGGAGGGAACACTATATTGTATAATCTATCTTTGTCAGTTTATTCTTTAAGTAAAATTTAAAACTCACAGTGAGCTACAGAGAAACTGAGGCTATTCAATGGTTTTACTGTTTCTGATTAGGACAAAAATAAGGTTAAAAACTAGGATTCACCAATTTTTAGTGGGACATCTGGTAACCCTATTCATGTACTAAGCT